CAGCAGGAAGTCAAGTCCACTCAGTACTACTTCCGTCTCCAGTTTACAAGTCAAATTTATGCATCCTGTACATTTTAGGGAATATATTATGCTCATTACCATGATCTTTGAAAAGACAAGAGCTTATGCTTGCAGTCTGGGAGAGGCTGCTCCAGCTCCTTCCTTCCAGGGCCCAGTATCCTCTACGGCTTTGGCTGCTCAGTTGGGCCTTAATTTCTGAAGATACTTAGGTACCTGAGAGATGGCTTTTATCTGCCTCCTTAGGTACATAAACAAGCATGCATTTTTTGTGGATGTTTTCAAGACCAGAAGATTCCGCTTTGCAGCTTTTATTGCTGCTTTGGGCTTTCACGATTCTCCTGGGTGAACAATTTTAAAAATAATGTGACATAAGTCAATAGGACATTGATATAACGTTGCATTTGGGTTTTTAATTTTACATTTCCTTTAACTGTCTTTGCTACCATTGACAGACTTTGTTCCAATTTCCTCTGTATTCATATCTTTGTATATTGACTCTTTTGCCCTGTAGGTTCAGAACATTTCTATAACTCACACATTTCGAATAGACAAGGCACGGAGCCAGCTGGGGTACAGCCCAGAGAAGTTTGCATTTGCCGATTCCGTGGACCATTACATAAAAACCAGACCAGAAGCCCAGAATCCTCACATCTTCCTCAAAGTTTTGCTTTCTTTAATTGTTAGTTTCAGTTTGATCTTTCTTTGTTTAGGACTTGATGGCCTTTCAGTTTTGCATTTTTTTAAAGAAACACAACGCTAACTGCACAAACTCAGTCACAGTACTGCTACCTGGATCATTCTCATCTCCACAATAGTTACTGGCCCTTAAGCAATAAGCAGGCAGTTATTTTACATTTAAAAACAAAATTGTAACATATCAGTAGTTGTACTTGAGATTTACTTAAAATACAGTAAACAATTATGGCCAAATCACTAAAACACACTGGAGTCAAGATTGTTGCCTCTGATTATTTCACACCAAAAAAATAACTTTCCAAATTGATTGCTGAAGTAAATGAGACCCTGCAGAAAGAACAAGAGCTACAGCCAGCCTGCAGTGCTTCACTCGTGAAAAAAGGCTAAAATAAGGTGGAAGATCAACTACAGCTGCTGCCATGGCTGACAACCTTGGGAACCTGAGGACAAACAAAGGGACAGACAGAACAGAGTACACACCGTCTCAATTTCTTTTGTGAATTGGCTGTATCACTACATACAAGGGAAAATAAAAGCATACTTGAAACTTTGCTGAAGTCAGACCTGTGCCTTCATGCACACCATTCCAAAACTGCTCCCCACCCTACTTCTGTAGCAACAGCTCCTCATGACAGTTCTGAGGCTGAGGGGGGGTACACGCAGGTATGGTCTTTCGAAAGTCAAAACTGTGTATTTTAGTTAAATTAGAAGTTATTAACTAAGTTAATTAGTTAAGTGCATTTATGTTACAGTAGAGGAATCTGCCACTATGGGTTGCCCTAATCTTTGTACTGCTTCCTTTACCTCCTGTAGTTATTGAGGACAACAGCTAACAATAAGTATAGTCACTTATTAGCTGAACTTCAGGAACAATTATGTTTTTGCACCTAATTTCTAAAGTATAGCAGTTGTATTGAGCAAAACTTTCCAGTAGCTCAAGTGAAAAATGTGCTTTTGAATTACTGTTCAGCTAAACCGAGCCTAAAGCACGAGGGGTCTGGAAGACCCCACTCCCATCTGCCACTCACGCTGGCAATTTATAACAGAAATACCCCTCCTCTCTGCACCTTTTCCAGCCTGTAACCTGGGGAGGGAACAATCATGAGCACAGGAAAGGTCAGGAAAAAGAGGTGGGACTAGGGATGAGACAGGAGATCCGGAGGAATCAAGGTCTGGGGGAGGGAGTAATCATAGATGGATTTGAGAATTCTGGGAAAAGTGAGAGCGCCCAGACCCAACCTGAGCCGCCTCAGTCCAGGGCGGTCAGCAACAGGCAGGTGCAAGGCCTGCGGGTGGAGGGTGCAGTAACGCAGTCACCGCACGGGACGGCAGAACTGCCGGAATTTGTATTTCTGGTTTTATTTTTAAGCCGCAGGACACGCAAGGAGGAGCGACCGCTTTCCCAGTACATACCACAGCTTTCTGTAATTTGATTTTAACGAGCGCGACGGGCCACCCACACCTCGCCACACCGAGAGCGGC